CAATTTTCACTGCAAAGTAAAGGAGCTGTTACAGTGGAGGATTCCTGGACTGAATGTCAATATTATGACATAGTGTGAGTGTGTTTCGTGTTTGGTAATTGCAATCAGTGTTGCTTTTATTGTGGTCATCCACTTACAATGCTTGGTCTCAGTTTATTTATCTCTTGTAAAAATAAAATACAGTGTGTGTGTGTGTGTGTGTGTGTGTGTGTGTGTGTGTGAGAAAAAAAAAGATACATGCACCCCTATGTTCATAGCAGCACTATTCACAATAACCAAAACACGGAAATAACCTAAGTGTCCATCAATGGATGAATGGATAAAGAAAATGTGATATATACAATGGAATACTACTCAGCCATAACAAAGAATGAAATAATGCCATTTGCAGCAACATGGATGCAACTAGAGATTATCATACTAAGTGAAGTAAGTCAGAAAGAGAAAGACAAATGCCATATGATATCATCTACATATGGAATCTAAAATATGGCATAAATGAACCTATCTATGAAACAGAAACAGACTCACAGACATAGAGATCAGACTTGTGGTTGCCAACGGGGGTAGGGAGGGATAAGGATGGACTGGGAGTTTGGGGTTGGTAGATGCAAGCTATTACATTTAGGATGGACAAACAACAAGGTCCTACTGTATAGCACAGGGAACTATATTCAATCTCTTGGGATAAACCATAATGGAAAAGAATATGAAAAAGAATGTCTATATGTGTACAACTGAGTCACTTTGCTGTACAGCAGAGATTGGCACAGCATTGTAAATCAACTATACTTCAATTTTTAAAAAAATGTTAAAAATAAATAATTGAAATCAGGATCTTAAAGTGATAGCTACGTCCCCATATTCATTGCAGCACTATTTGCAATACCTAGTGAAGATACAGAAACAACTGAAATGTCCATGGACAGAGAATGTATACAGAAAATGCGGTATAAACATACAATAAATATTATTCAGCCTTAAAAAAGAGGGAAATGACACCATTTGCAACAACATGGAAGGCATTCTAAATGAAGTCAGTGAGTCACAAAAGGACAGAAGGACTGCATGATTCCTCTTATATGAAGCATCTAAAATAGTCAAACTTACAGAAGCAGACAATAGAAAGGGGATTGCCAGGGTCGGGGGGAAGGGAAAATGGGGACTTGTTCAATGGGTATAAGTTTTCAGTTATACAAGGTGAATAAGTTCAAAAGATCTCTGAAAATCGTAGTGCATATGGTTAACAATTCAGTAGTGCACACTTAAGAATTTGTTAAGAGGGTACACTTCATGTTCAGTGTTCTTACCATAAAAAAAAAGGGAGCACAAGGAAATTTTGGAGGTGATGGATATGTTTATTACCTTGATTATGATGATGGTTTCATAAGTGTATGCATACTCATCAATTTGTATACATTAAATGTGTCCAATCTTTGTTTATGAATATACTTCAACAAAGGTATAAAAAAGTTAAAGCTATTGAAAACATTAAAAAAATTAAAATAAAAAATAAAAGGCATCATAATAATTTTTAATTTTATCTTTATTTATGGAGGTAGTTATTATTATGCCCATTTCATTGCTAAGACACTGAGGACCAAATGGCACAGAATTAGGTAAGTCTCCCAGGGCCACCCGGCAAACAAATGGTGTTTGCAGACCTCCATATTATTATCATTGTTATTATTATTATTATTATTTTTTTACAATTCAGTGGGTTTTAGTATTATATTTAAAGTTGTGCAGTTATTACCATCATTTAATTTTTAGGACACTTCCAAAAGAAATCCCATACCCATTAGGAATCACTCCCTATTTCCCCCTCCCCTTGACAATTCTAATCTACTTTGTCTCTATTTCCATAGGATTTTTATATCTCCCTAATGTACTCACATAATTCAATTTTTAAAAAAATCAACTTACAGAGCTTTTTAACAACAGAATGCTGTATAGCTACCAATGGAACTATTTATCTTAACTTGAATAAGTCACTTTAAAACTTCAGGGTACAAACCTGGATCCTTTTCCCCTGAATTGCTTGTTTTCTTTTTTTTTTTTAATAATAATTCTTTTTTAAAATAAATGTATTTATTTATTTTTGGCTGTGTTGGGTCTTCTTTTCTGTGCAAGGGCTTTCTCTAGTTGCGGCAAGCAGGGGCCACTCTTCATCGCAGTGCGCGGGCCTCTCACTATCGTAGCCTCTCTTGTTGCGGAGCACAGGCTCCAGACACGCAGGCTCAGTAGCTCTGTTTTCTTGAACTTTATTCCTTAGGTATTATAATCACTAACTGCAAACAGTTTCTCTTTGAATTCTCTTTGGCAAGAATACAAATTTTTACTTTCTTAAAAAAGAAGCAATTCTGAAGAGAAAGAATTAGGCAGATAGTTTATGGCTTCTGTATTTCTTATTCTAGATTTAGAAAACTCCCTTATTTGATTCAACATTAGGCACTTGATGAAAAAATAAAATGCGAAAAAGAAAATGTTTCAGATTGTTTTCCTGACATAAGACACCTCGCCTAGTTAGTGAGCTGATGGGTATCTTGTTTCCAAGGTAGAATGTAAACTCTCTCAGAAGGGAGATCAAGGCACTCATTCATTACTTCACATCTGCCCTGCACACTGCATGGGCGCTTTATATTTTATTATAGGTCCCAATTATAAGTATGAAATCAGAAAAGAAAAACCTAAATTTGTTCTCCAGCTTGGGGGAAAATGGTTACAAATGCTCACTTCTCCCTACAAGTCAGTTTAGCATTTCAATTCATACTTAGTGTTCCAAGGAAGCTATATAAGAAGCACAGTTCCTGCTCTATAAAAATTTGTTAGCGTTCCACTGCGATGTCCCAAGATAAAGTCACAAATTATGAGAAAGCCAAATCTGCAAAGAACCTTAAAAGCCCATCTGGTCCACCCAGCTCTGATTTTCTTGATCTGAAATATGATAAGTTGGAGTTGCCCAAGCAAATCAGGACAAAGCTGCTCTTCAGTTTGGGGTACCACTCATTAAACTAACAAATGTACCCCTTACCACATTATGAAAACCCATTGCTGTATGCAAACATTCAGATGTACAAGAAAGATAAGGAATGATTTTGGGGGGTTTTTTTTTAACAAATTATTCGAAGTGTTCTAAATAGAAGATCCAATAATGCAGAAAAACATCCTGTAGAGTTAGATTTACCCACAACTTTTCAGGAACAGCTCATAAAACTGGGTGTATGTATATTGAAACAAAAGTTGTTAGAAGGGGAACCTATTACGAGCTTCAGGCTTTGCACCTGCATCTCATTTAATCCTTCAGAATCCTGTGAGGCTGGCAGAGCTATCACCGCCCTTTCACAGCTAAGAGAACAGCCTCAGGGAGACCAAGTAATGTAGCTAAGGGCTCACAACTGGTTAAAAAATAAATTTAAAAAGGCCCTCAGTTACTAACATAACGTATTCTGATGTCATACAGCCTGTGGCAAGGTTTAATTCAATGGCATATTCGACAGAAACATTACACTATTATTCTCTGACCTTCATTTCCATGGCTGGCCCGATTTTATCACATTTTTATATTTTTAAACCAATTTCCAAAGTGACCTTTCTTTGAAGTGTACCAGCTGACAGCTGGTACGGCTGTGAATGTACTGTAAATGACAGATACATTTTTTTTTTCATTTTCACTTCCCTCACTGCCTACTCCAGAGAATGACAAATGAAAGATTTTAATCAATACTTTTTGCACATTAAAATGTCAAGCTCTGTAATCGCAAAAATTAATGCCACAGAGTTTACCTTAAGCAAACTGGTTGCTTCAGAATGACTTAATCAATGTTATCATGAAAATAAAATACATTTCTAGCCGGCACCACAGGAGGAAATGGGTGACCAAAGTCTCAGGGCTGCTCAAGCTCAAAAATAACAGGAACGTTGAAAAAGGTATTGGACTAGGAGTTTAGATTCCTGGATTCCACTTCTGGTTCTGCCACTTACAAGTAGTAAGAGACGACCTAACTTCCTGGGACATGTTTCACTTTCAGTAAAACAGAGAATATAATTCTTGACCTATCTTGTACACAAGATTGTTCCGATGGTCAATGGAGATAATGTGCAGATTTAAAAACATGGTGCTAAACAGCACCATAGATATTATTTTATAGGTGGAAAAAGGAAGCCCAGAGAGGCTAAATAACTCGAAAACGTCACACAACCAGGGGATGACAGAGCCAAAGACGGGAACCCCTGAGATTTTCAGTCCTGAGCTTTATAGAGTCCACCTGTTGTCTTTAACGGCTTCTACTCAATGAACTTTGCACATTATTACTCAACATTATTTGCGTGCCACCTCAATAAAACCACCCTGGTGTCCCTTTGGGAAAGTGTCATAACCATTCTTGATTTATAAAGCTACACCTCAAAATGCAAGCTTCCTGATTTAATATCTTAATGCTGGAAAGGCTATTCCCGGTCAATTGGACCGACCTGCAGCATAAGAATTCGTTCTACTACATCCGCGAGAAGCATATTGGGCAAAGTACTCACAACCATCTCTAAGGCCAATAAAAGAACTTCTTTGCAGCCCACTTTAAAACAACTGAAACTTTCTTTGCAGCGTGTACCAAATCAGATTGCTTTTTAAGTCCAAGCTTTGCTCACTTCATATATATGGCATTAGCAGGATCGAGAAAAGAGCTGGAGGAACCTTGGGTTCTGCCACGAGCTCCCTAGGAAAAAAAACTCTCCAGGCTTCAATCCCCCAGAGTGTGAAAAGAGGGTGACGACAGCAAACACCCCCAGTGTTCCCCTCGAGGGATGCTGAGAAACTATTGGGCGGGAGAGCGGACGGTGCGCAGGATGACTGAGCAGCCGACTCAGCGGGGTCCCAAGCAGCCCAGTGCAGACACTGGGCGCAGGCGGTCCCACCCCGGGCCCCGCCCGGCTAGGGGGGGACTGCGCGTGGGGGTGCCCCTCCCCCGGCTTCTTTAGTGCGACCGGCGGGGGTCACTCACCGGACCAGGAGCTCTAGGAAGATCACGTTACTGCAGCAGCCTGCGAAAACCAGGCCCACCGCGAAGGCCGGGCGCATGGCCGGGGCAGGGTAAGGAGAGCGAGCGCGCAGAGGAAGCGCCCGCCTAGACTGCTACCCCAGGAAACCCGGCTGCCGCCTCGCCGCGGCACTGAACATCACCACCGTCTCGGAGTGCTGCTCTCCCGGGGCCGTCGCTGTCTCCCTTTTCCCGGCGGCCGCCACCAACGCTGCCGGCGAGGAGCTGTAGTTAGCCGTTAGCCGGGGCCCCATTCATCCGAAGGGGTGTCCGAATCCGGGCCAGACTACACTTCCCAGAATGCTGCGCGCCCGTACGTCCGGCTGCGTCGTAACTCGCTTCTGCCCGGCAGCTCCACCGGAGAGGAGAGATAGGCGAGGTGCCCGTCATGCCTCGCGCGGTAGCAAGCCGCGGGGCTTGCTGGGAAGTGAAGTTCCAACGTTGTTAATGTTGTTTCGTAAGAGGCCGCCAAGGGCTCTGAAAGGGATTCGTCCAGCACTTTCACGGTAAACTCACAGCTGACGGCACTAGAGGTACACACCTGTGATTGCTTGATCGTTGGAAGTATTCTAGTATCTGAAAATTCTCCTGAATTGGGAGAAAGTAGAAATTCTCTGAACTTCCTTCTCTACCTTTTGAAAAGAACATTGGACTCGGGAAGTTCTGGGATTGAATCTTGGCTTAGCCACTCATCAGCTTGGCTATCTCAGGCAACTGCTTTCTCATCATAGGTAAAGATGGGAACAGTTAATGCCCATCTTACCTGGCTGTTGTGAGGATTAAAAGCTATGATCACCTGGGGATCTTGTTAAAATGCAGGTTCTGATTCACTAGACCTGCTGTGGGGCCTAAGGTTCTGCACTTCCAACAAGTTACCAGGTGTCAGTGATGCTACACATCTGTCAAACACACTTTGAAGAGCACAAGACTATAAACCAGCTGACTCTGGAGACCTTTCCATCCCACCCATCTCACTGGCTCAGGGACTCTGGGCCAGCCAACCAGCCACCCAGGCTCCTCTTTCCCTGTAGCCTACAGTCAGGCTCAAACAAACTAACTTGTCCTTCTCCTTCACTTTAACACTGAATATCTTTAAAGAGTAATCTATATTCACGGTCTCTGCTTTTTACTCTCATCAAAGCCAGGTTATTGAAAGTAGCCTCATTTAGAGCCCTAATGACCTCTCAATTGTCCAAACCAAATATCACAGGCTCACCTTACTTGATCTTGCCACGGCTTTCGACAATGAAAGCTCAATCCTCTTGACATTCTCTTGTCCCTCTGCTCATAAGACACGAGCGGCCTGTTTCTCTTTCTACTTCTCTGACTTATCTTTTTCAGTTTTCTTTTTGGGCTTTTCCTCCTCTGCCCACTGAGTTCTCCTAACAGAGCTCCATCATTTGTCCCTCCTCTGTTTCCCTGAACACTTTCTATTGGTTATCTCATCTCCATAACTTCAACCATCACCATATGTAACTGAGATCTTACGTGTATGTACAGCCCCAATCTCCTGTGTGCCTTAAATCAAAGTTTCCAACTGCTTATTTGACATTGTCACCAATAAATCCTTGTAAACCCCTCAACAACAGCATATACACAGTGCATTATCTACCCTCCCAAATAGGGCCCTTATTTCTACTAAGGACATTATCCACTATCTGTTCTCTTTGGGCAAAAACCTAAAAGATATTCACAGTCTTCCTTGCCTTCCCATCACACATTTCTTTTATCTCTACATTCTGTCTCACAAGTATCTCTAGATTCCAGCCTCGCCTTTCAGTTTACATCGATGTCTACTTATCCTCCTAACACATCTTGGTGCCTTCAGCCTCTTCCCTCTTCAACTCATCCTCCATGCTGTCGCCATACTGTTTCCAAAAACAAACTCAAACTCTTTATGTCACACTGCTTTTCCAAGATGTCAGTTCCAATTACCAGTACTGTGTAACAAACCACCCCAAAATGTGGTGATTCAAAATGTAGTATAGGGCTTCCCTGGTGGCGCAGTGGTTGAGAGTTTGCCTGCGGATGCAGGGGACGCAGGTTCGTGCCCCGGTCCGGGAACATCCCACATGCTGCGGAGCGGCTAGGCCCGTGGGCCATGGCCGCTGAGCCTGCGCATCCGGAGCCTGTGCTCCGCAACGGGAGAGGCCACAACAGTGAGAGGCCCGCGCACCACAAAAAAAAAAAAAAAAAAAAAAAAAAATGTAGTATAGAACAAAAAGATGTTCTCTCTCACACACAGTTCTGTATGTTGACAACGTTCGACATATACCTAGTCCGTTCTCCGTTGGAGTTTCAGATGCCGTTGTGGTCAGATGCCAGCTAAGGCTGGAGCCTTCCGAAGGCGTGACTGGGCTGATGAATGGCTCTCTCCTCATGGCCTCTCTTAGGCTGTGTTTCCTCACAATATTGTGGACTCAGGTTAGCCAGACTTCTTACAAGATGACTAGCTCCCCCTAGAACAAACGTTCCAAGAGATCAAGTCAAAAGCTGTAGTGGCCTCAGTGTGTGACACTGACACAGTGTCACTTGCACCAAATTCTATTGGTTCCATTGGCCAACCCAGATTCATTGTGGGAGGGGACTAGCAAAGGCATCATCTGTGTGGGGGGGAAGGGGCATCTTTGAAGACTAGCTATACAATGTTTCTTGGCTCCTTGTGTGAAATTCACACTCTGTAGAAGGCATGCAAACATGTCACCATCAAGCCTCAGTTTACGTTTGTAATTTCCTCTCCTGCCATTCTTTCCAGTGCTACCTGGACTCCTGCCACATTAAATGCTCTGTTCTCTGAGTTTATAGTGACTTTCAAAATTCGCATCTGTGCACACGCTGTTCTGCTTGCTCTGAAAACCCTTTTCTTTTTGGCCATCTCCTACTCATCCTTTTATGGCAGTGGGGGACACAGGAGTGAGTAGATACTTCTACACTGTACAGGGGGAAGGTCCCTGCTCAGACATCACCTTTCTGTGTGTAGTTTTTCAAAGCACCATTCACAGTTCCCTCCTCTATATCTCTAGCACCCCATCCATACATAAACCAGTCCATGAATCATGTTGTATTGTAGTTATACATGTTCATGTTGGTCTCCCCCTTTAGACCATGCCCCTTTGTGGACAGAAACCAAGAATAACTAACTCATCTCTAGATCCTTAGCATCATATACAGTGGCTGGTATATAATATGTACACACACTTTTTGTTGAATGAATGAATGAGTGAGCTTGACTTCATTATTTGAGTCAAATAATTCACACCTCATAAATTCAATAAATATATAATATTTTTCATCTTGACTCATTTCTAAAATGTACACATCAAAAATGTACTGCTCAATAATTTGCATAAACAATGATATATAACCAACACCCTGGCCAGGAAACAGAACATTACCAGCACCCCAAAAGATCCCTGTGGCCCCTTCAAATCACTAATCCCCTCCAGGAATAACCCCCTTTTTTACTTTCTAGCAACAGAGATTAGTTTTGCCTGGTTTTAGACTTGACATAAATGGAATCATACAAAATATTTTCTTTTGTTTCTGCTTCTTTCACTCAACGATATGTTTGTTGGTTCATATGTGTTGTTGCACGTACTTGTAGTTCATTTATTCTCATTGCTGGATAACATTCCCTTGTATGAACGTACCACAATTTATCTCTTCTCCTGGTGATGGACATTTGGGGCATTATGAAGAGTGCAACTATGACATTTCTTGTACATAACTTTTGGTGAACATAAACACACATTTCTGTTGGATATTAGTGGATTAATCAAGGTCCTTAGTCAAGAAACAGAAATCATACAGTAACGAACAAGGAAAGTTTAATATAAAGAATTATTAACAGTAACAGAGGATTACTTAACATAATGGGTTAAGAAACTCCCAAGATAATAGGAATAGTAACTACAGCCTAGGAATGAAGCAGACCACTCAAGGAAGGAACAAATTTGGAAGAGGGCCTTCTCTCTTGCAAATTGAGACTCAGGCTTTACCAAAGAGGGCATGGCTATAGCCCACTAGCTAGTAGAGAAGTTCCGTAAGGTGCTGATAAAACTAGCCGTGAACCACCCTCTGGGGTCCGGCTGGGGCACTGGCCAAGTCATCGGGTGTTGTACTTTCCAGGAAGCTGGCTGGGGCTCTGGAGAACGTCCTGGTAACCTCCTGGAAGGATACCACTGAACTCACTGAGGCGATGTCCTATATGCTGCAGGAACAAGAAGAAAGGAAAAAGCACCAGAACCAGGAAGACAAGGCCCCTCCTCCCGCTGTGTTCCTGCAGTGCTGTCATGATGAAGGTCCACACTGTGCCACCTGGCAGAGGGGAAATGTCCAGAGGATCCAGCTCCAGCATCACAAGCAGGGCCGTGAGGGGTGGATTTGGAGCTGGGAGGCTGTAAATCGACAACTGAGACTCCCATGGGGTGGGGGTGGGGGTGTTAGGGTCATTTCAACTTCCATATGTTAATTGTTTCATCGTAAAACCAAAGTTACAAAGTGCAGGCAAGGCTTCATCTCCCAGGCTTTTTTCTGCCTTCCCCTCTGAGTTCAAAGTTCTAGCATCTTTGAATGAATAGCGACATCTTAGACAGCAGCTGGGCTCAACGTGTTTAAACCTTCGCACAATCCGCTTCCCTTGCGTGGAAGGACCTATTGCTTTGGGAATGTTCACCATCTTTGCTCCTGTGTTGTCAGCAGGAAAAAGCTGTCACGGTTGTCTTAAAAGCCATTTTTGCTTCTAGCTCCAGCCACTTAGACATATTTTGAATCATTTATTAAATCCACTTAACCAAGGTGTTGACAAAAAATTAAGAAAGATGACTGCTGTGGGATACTGCTTGACAAGTGTCCTCAAGTTGACAATCCTACAGAGATCTGTCACTTGATTTAAAAAAAAAACGTTCTCATATCTATTATGTGAGGATGATTTTCTCCTCTATCACATAAATCTTGAGATGCTTGGAGCTGTGCATGGGGAAGGCACACTATAAATATACGTGAGGTATTATTTATAAAGTCAAATTTTTTGTTACTTGTTTCATAGGTCAGATTCAAGCAATGCCCCAGTGTGTTGATAGATTTATGTGATCTAGCTTCTTCAAGGATGTTATTCAAAGACAGATGACCTTTTTCAGAGTACTGTAGTTAAGGCACATGGAGCTTTGGCCAGGAAGGAAACTTGCTTGACCAGAATGTTAGTGGTATGAGGTCAAGGACTTTGTCTTATTAGCCACGGTACCCTCTGTATCTCTATGGCGTTTGGCTCATAGCAGATGCTCACTGAGTTTGGATGGAAGGTAGAAAGGAAGAAAGAAAGGAATGGAGGGACAGAGGGATGGAGGGACGGAGGGATGGAGGGACAGAGTGAGGGAGAGAGAGAGGGAGGGAGTGAGGGAGAATGAAGGACCTTTAGGAAAACCAGCTCCTATGTAAGAAACTCATATGCAAAACAGGTGAGGGGTTGAAAATGGTACCTGCTATGGTAGAAACTACTAAGCAGGTTAAACACCTGAAGAAATAATCCTGAGTGCTCAGGGCTATGGGCGAGCTCCTGGTGGCAAGAACTATGTCTACTTGAACCGTGTGCCTCCCAGTTTTCCCCTTCATCGTTGCTGAATTGATGTTTGTTAAATTGTATTATTGAATTGAGGTGGCAAATCTCACTATGAGGAAAAGATACTCTTAAACCACTTTTAGGAAAAAAATGATGTCAGAGAATCAAGTATTTACATCAGGTATGACGTGTCTCTAAGTTACTTACTATGCTTCCACCTTCCCCAACCCTAGGATAACTGATAATATTTTAAGAGAATAAAACGAACCCATGGGGTCATTTCATTTTGATTTTCCTACCCTGGTTCCATCACCTTTTCCCCATCTCAGGCATTAAGCTATGTTACTAACCCCCCTGCTGAAACACGCTTTGATCTGCTATTCCCCAGGGGTGAACGTAGCACATCACAGTGACTGTTTCAGTTTCTAAATGCTTCTGCACAGAGCCCATCTACCCCTCCATCAATTATGTGAGGTAGATGGGGATAATTATTCCTACGAGAAAATCTGAGGGTCAAAATGTTTAAATATATTTGCTAAGGCTCACAAATTTGAATGCATGTGGGACTAGGCAGGTGAGGTCAACATGAAACTGATTTTCAAAGTAAATGGTGAAACTGTGCAGAACGTATTGAGTTTTTTTGGGAATCGGAAGGTGTAATCCGTGTCTGGGTACATTCAAATTCAAATTTTTTAAATTTTAGTTTTAATTTTGGTAACATGTATATTACAAACAGTTTACCATCTTAACTGTTTTTAAGTGCACAGTTCCCTGGTATTAAATACATTTACATTGTTGTGCAACTATCACCACCATCATCCCCAGAACTTTTTGCATCTTGCAAAACTGAAACTCTGTAGCCATTAAACAATCATTCAGCCTTACTTCCTCCCCACCCCAGCCCCTGGCAACCACCATTCTAGTCTCTGCTTCTATGAATTTGACTACTCTAGGTACTTCATGGAAATAGAATCACACAGTATTTATCTTTTTATGACAGGTGTATTTCACTTAGCATAATGTCCTCAAGGTTCATCCATGTTGTAGCAGGTGTCAAAATTTCCTTCTCTTTTAAGGGTGAATAATATTCCACTGTCTGTTTACACCACAATTTGTTTATCCATTCATTAATTGATGGACACTTGAGTTGCTTCCACCTTTTGGCTATTGTCAGTAATGCTGCTACGAACATGGGTGTACAAATTTTTCTTTGAGACCCTGCTTTCAGCTCTTTGGGGAGTATACTCAGAAGTGGAATTGCTGGGTCGGATGGTAATTCTAGCCTTAATTTTTTCAGAAACCATCATACTATTTTCCATAGCAGCCACACCATTTTCTATTTCTACCAACAGCACACAAAGATTCCCTGTATTCTGTCTCCTCGCCAACACTTATTTTCTGGTTTCTTTTCTTTTTTTTTTCTTTAAAAATAGTAGCCATCCTAGTGGGTGTGAGGTGGTATCTCATGGTGGTTTTGATTTGCAAGTCTCTAATGATTAGTGACGCTGAGCATCTTTTCGTGTGCTCACGAGCCATTTGTATATCTGCTTTGGAGAAAGGTGCATTCAAGACCTTCGAATTCTCATTTTTAAAGCATGGAATTTTTTTTTTTTTTTTTTTGCGGTACGCGGGCCTCTCACTGTTGTGGCCTCTCCCCGTTGCGGAGCACAGGCTCCGGACGCGCAGGCTCAGCGACCATGGCTCACGGGCCCAGCCGCTCCGCGGCATGAGGGATCCTCCCGGACCAGGGCACGAACCCGCGGCCCCTGCATTGGCAGGCGGACTCCCAACCACTGCGCCACCAGGGAAGCCCAAAAGCATGGAATTTTGAGCCAGGTTCTTTCTGCGGGCTGATGGCTTCTGACCCTGGATCACGCCCTAAGCAACAGAGCCAGGACGAGA